TAACTTTCCTACGCTTAGTATTGTAGGTAAAATATTTTATTTGGACTATACACTTCAAAAAAAAAAGAAAAAACAGAAAAACCGTGACGCTGTGACAAAATATGGTCAAAAGTGTCACGGCGTCATGGTTTTTCTGTTTTTTCTTTGATTAATACAGACTAATTAGAATAGTTTCGAACTTGACAAGCGATCACATCTTGTAGGGCAAACAATTTTCTACAAACTGATGTACTTGTTCAATTTTTGCCAGCTTGTCTTCACGCTTTTAGACACGCCTTTTAGATAGCCCCAAAATCGATTTTTGGGGCTGTTTGTACAACAGCTGTATTTTCATAACGAATCAACGTTCAGAGCCGAGAAATCTACTTAATTATCTAGTTGCTATTTTAGATTAGTTTGTAGCTTTATTACAATAACTTTTTGGAAAAGAGCAAAAAATGGAGGGCGTTAGTAACTTTTAATAATTAATTAATCTTTTCTCTTCAACCTTTTTTCTCGTTCTATCTATGGAAGCTATAAGTGTAATTTCAGTATGTTACAAGCACACTGAGCAAGCCGTTTTCGGTGTGTAAAAACAGTCCAAGGTGAAGTGCAAATCCATTGTGCCTCGAGCACACTTTATTTTTTACAGTGTATAGTCCAAATAAAATATTCTACCTACAATACTAAGCGTAGGAAAAGTTATTAATGATTTTACTGTTTTTAACATAAATATCATCATGGATTATACAACTTATCTGACTTTTAATAATTAATTCATCTAACGGACATGCACGTATTAAAACTCATATATCTTTACTCCTACTGCATAACGATACATCTACAACTTATAAAGATAATGATATGTTTTTTTCAAAAAAGTTTTCAAAGTGTGATTCGGGGCCGAAGGAGAGTGTAAGAACTATATAATTGTGTTTGATTTCATATTAATTCTAAACAATTCTGTCTATCCTGTCTCATAACTTCTCTCTCTTCCTTAATTGTTTGTATGTTTATTCGTTCAAAGATAATTTTCTACTGCTCCTGTTCTGTTATTCAGGTTAGATAAACGCTGTTCTGTCACAACAACAACAACTTAACGCTGTTGGAATCAGTTAGCAAGCGTTTTCAATTTTCGTCATTGTATCCTTTCTTTCTCAGAAGTAGAACGTTCTTCAAAAACAATTTAGCAGTTTTATCGAGATTACTACAATTTCCTGCAGATAAAAAACTGATCTTTGTACTGACAGACGCTCAGATATTTGTTTTTGTGACTTTTTAAGCCATGTAGGAAAAATGATTTTGATCTTCAGCTGAATGAAATCGGTAGAGCGTTTACAAATTGATAAAACGTAGTGAAGTATTCTGACTCAACGCTATATGCCGATGTTATCCCTGAGTGCTTTTAAAACTGCTCTTAAAAAACACTTGATTAGAAGTAAGTTTTAATGCCACGTTGAAAACAAACATTGTATGCCTCAGACAGATCAAAAATTTGAAAACGATTAATCCTTTACAGAAATTGAGCCGCCAAATACGAGCTAAACGTTGAAACTTATTTTCGAAATCCAAATTCTAATTGTGGCCATAAATCATGTGCTATGGAGTCATTAGCTTAAACTAAATTTTAAAAGCCTGAAATATCTCCGAAAGAAAAAAATAATGAGTAGAGCTTGAAAATTAATTTGAAGGTATTTGGATATAATACTAATTGATTCCAATATACTTAGCAAGAGCATATGTAAAACTGTTACACATTCTTTTACTGTTCATTAATAATTTCTGCTGTTGTTATGTTGATGGTTCATACTAAAAAATGTTTTCTAATAACTACTGATTTATGTATCATTGTTACCATTCTCTTCAACCATTATACTTCTTTAAAGAGAATAATCAGCACTGTTTAAACTTCAGAATAAATGTCTCTTACCTTTTAAAAACTCAGCCTGCTAACGACGGCTGCTGAAGGAGGAAAACCAAGAAAATAATAGAAATAAAGGAGCCATTTTATTTTGTGCCTAAAGACGCTTCCGCATGCAGTAGAAAAGTATTTTTATTCGATTTTAAGCCATTTCGTGTACTTTTTGTGACTAAATCCGAGTAATTCTTCGTCAACAGGGTGCTAACTGGTCATCTCTCCAAGATCAGCTATGGGTTACGTAAGCTGTGCCTTTCTCTTGTTCCTTCTATGTATAGACGATAAATTAAATATATCAGTAGATAACCCATGAAATTCTCTACAAATTGTGTGTAAAATAACAGTTAACTGTAATGCTTTGATAGTAGTATGGAGCTGAGAATAATCCTACATATACAACATAGAAGTCAGACGTCTCTTGTGTAGCTCGTTTTCCTCAAACAAGAAAACGTATATTATCCTGTCATATACCACTTTGAAGCCTATGAAATCTGCTACAGAATGGCATATTCAGAATTCCAAGATCGGTATAATTAGTCACTAGAAAATAGACAGAAGTAAACTGAGTAACGAAAAATGTGGTATGTTCTCAGTTTGGACTATTTTTTACACTAATAAAGAAACATATATATTTTGGGTCATATACCACTTTAAAGCTGGTCAAATTTCCTACAAACTAAGCTATTTACGATATCTTGATCAGTGGGTTCAGCTTCTGTAATTTTAGACGTGGAATCAGTTTCCCTGAGAGCCCCAAGACTAGTATAATGAGGACTGAGACAATCTCGAAAGTAAATGGAAACATAGGTTATCTCACAATCTAACCAAACCACTCGAAATACTCTCTCTAGCTTGATCTACATGCGACATAACCAGAGAAGTAGTAACTTCTATTTTCTTATTATTGGGATTTTCAGAGTGTTTTTAGCAATCAAGCATAAGAGAATATATTAGTTTAGAATTGTTTTGATGTTCTAAGCATTCAGTCTACTCATATCCTTACGTTCAGAAGGTTTCGAGAGGTTTGGTTACATTGTGAGATAACCTATGTTTCCATTTACTTTCGAGGTTATTTCCGTCCGCATAGTACTAGTCTTGGGACTCCCAGGGAAACCGATTCCACGTCTAAAACCACAGAACCTAAACTCACTGATCAAAATATCGTAAACAACTCAGTTTGCACGAAATTTGATCACCTAAAGAATAGTTTTTCTTCCTTGTGCTTCATTGAGCTACAAATACAAACTCTGGCAACTCTTTTGGAAAATATTAGTTTTCTTGAAAAACGACATTTTAAGAAAAAATAAAATTTTTCTAAATCAAATCTATCCAAAATGCGCTAAAACTTCAGCATATAGGCAGTTGAAAAGAGAGCGGAGAAAATACTCTTTCTCTGAGAAATCAGAAAAAAGCCACTGTAACTGAGACATAAACGTTATGGTTGAGTAAGGTAAGCTAAAGTACGACAACACAAGTAAAAGTAAGATAAGATAAGACAACCTACGGTAAGATACGGTAAGGTAGTATAGAGAGGTTAGGATAAGGTAAGGTAAAGTAAGGTAAGGTAGTGTAGAGAAGTTAAGATAAGGTACCATAAACTAAGAAAATGTCTTGCCAGAGAAATGAAACTGAGAATTCAAAACACAGATACTTTGCTCCGCCCAACGAAACGTCTTGGGACTCCCAGGAAAACCAATAGGAATTGGGCCTAACAAGGGAAGATCCCCAAGTGCGAGTCTCAGTTTTGAATGGGGTATATACCAATCTGTAGAGTTCGACGAGCTGATTCTCATTTGCTCATATGACCTTAGGTTAGAAAAAAACGATAAATTCTACTTGTGGAGATCACCCATAGATATTTACTGAGAAATGAAAATACGACACTTCAGCCTGAAACTTTGTGCATAGATAGGTCTCATGATTCTTAGAATATTCTGAAAGTTTTAACCAAAACGAATATTCCTTTCTCAAGATAATGAATTTACAAAAATTAATCGCTTGGCACAAACATGTCACAAAAATCGAGTTTACTTGGAAATTCAATATCTTGAGAAAGGAATATTCGTTTTGGTTAAAACTTTCAGAATATTCTAAGAATCATGAGACCTATCCATGCACAAAGCTTCAGGCTGCAGTGTGGTATTTTCATTTCTCAGTAAATATCTATGGGTGATCTCCCACAAGTAGAATTTATCGTTTTTTTCTTACCTAAGGTCATATGAGCAAAAACAGAACATATCACGAGAATCAACTCGTCGAGCTCTACAAACTGGTATATACCCCATTCAAAACTGAGACTCACACTTGGGGACCTTCCCTCATCAGTGGTACGATTCAACAACGTTTGTCATTTCCAGTTATACAGTTAATTGTTTAATATGAAAATAAAAGTGAATTCCGCTCTGTGCCTGTCAAAACTTTCCACTAACCATTTAAATCATTATTCCTGCCTCTAGAACCTTACTACTTTGTTCGATAATTAATTTTACTCATATAAACATTTTGTAATTTTTTGTTCTCAAGCTATGTGAATATCTAATTGTGCAATGTGCCTAATAGTTTTTATAGATTTTCTGTTTTCAATTTGCAAATCCCTTTGTACTTTCATCTGTGTTTTGTTATGCCTTCCTTTTTGTTGTACCAGATTCAAAAATATACTTTGTAGTGTCTCTTTTGAAACTTCTCGCGAACAATAAATCAAAAAATGTTGAATGAATCATTTTAGACGAGAATCATTTTAACTATAGTTTCATATTACGTGATTTTTTTCAAACATCCCTATCTGTCATCAATCATAGGCGATTGCATTACAGCCCACGCAACTCGAACGTTCTTCCAGTAATCCTATTTTATGTATAAAATGACTTTTATACATTAAAAAAGCATAGATAAACAGCCGACGTCGGTGTAAAAAGTTTAATAATCTTGTCATTGAATAGCAAGTAAATCTCATAGCATCAAATATTGTAAAAATCAAAGAATATGATATCACAATGACATTGATAACTATCTTGCATATTCATAAATGCTTTTTATTCATTTAACTTTTACGAAAAAACAAAGGTAAATTCATTATCTTTCAACTTAAAATTGGATACACATCTCAACTACATCTCATTGGAAAACCTTGTACATGAAATGATTCTGAGGCAGCTGCAGTCATAAAATTTGTTGACACAACATTGAACTTAGAAAACGTAAGAAATGGTCGAAAAAACCAAAAATAACCAGGAAATACATCAGGTGTGAACGTAAATTCACCAACATTTCTATAATTTTCTGTAAAATCCTCTAACGTTGTTGTATTGAATGCTGTGGCAATATATCCTCGAGGACCACTGGCTGGACGCCATCCTCGAATTTCGACACCAAACAAAACCTCACCTTGTTTCTCATCGGCAGTTAATGGAACTCCATCAAATAACACAACAAATCTTGCTTTGGCATAGGCTGTATAAGTCAGATTAGTAATTTGGTTATCAGGTAATAGTTTAACCAACATTTTGCCTGGTACATAATTGTTGCTTTGCACATGACCAGTAATAAATAGACAGAATAACAATATATTGATAGCACTGACCATTTCCAACTTTGTTTAAAAAACGTATTGAAATTTCGTTACAACTCAACCTTTATATATGAGTAAGCGATTACGCCTATTACTTACTCATGGTTTAGATTTGTTTCTAATCCTTTTATTAAGTCAGGTAGATGAAACACAAGGATATTTGATGTTTCTCTTTACATTAAAATTCTTCTTTCTTTCTACCCACTTTTCTTGATTATATTTGATGAGTCGACGTTCTAAACACTGAGATTACTTTTTCGATGCGTACTTTAATTAATACTCAGCCTTATAAAATGGATATATCTTCAACGACAGTTGATTCTTTTCCTCGATAATTAAGTCAACTTGAATGTTTAGTCGACGATGTATAGCATAAGAACCGTTGAGTATAATGGGTCAATCATTAAATATTACTGCATTGCTTTTATGTAGTCTAATTTTTGTATGCTTTTAATGATTAAAAGCATACAAAAATTAGACTACAAAACTGTTTCCTAGTGGAGCACATATATCAATATATTGAGGACAGGAAGCGTTTGGCTTCATAACTCATCATATTATCTTTTTCCATTGTTATCATATTATCTGTCTGAGTTTAGGAATTTTGTACGTATGTAGCAAATAATCATTCCAATTTTTTCTTCTACTTCTGATGTATTCTTTCTTTTTTTTCTAATCTACAAGAACACCATCTACATTTTTGATTTCTTGCGCAAGTATTTACTATATCAAGTTTAGTACTCAGGAGGAAAAACATTTTCAATAATATAATCCTCTTCCAATAAATCACGGTATATATGTAACAGTTGCGTTATTTTTGCGCTACTGATATTATGGTACATAATTCAGTGAAGAAGAAAAATTACACGTTTATTTTATGCATATAATATCCTCGGTACTTTTCATTTTAAAAAATAACCATAGTATACGTTCTTCTGAGTTGATGGGTGAGATTTTCTTTTCCCATCTTCATTCTAAACCATGGAGTCATAGTATTCCTAATGGAGAGAGAAAACAAACATTTTTCAGGTTTAGGCCGAATTTTTTTTTCGTTTTCTTCTCTATAGAAAAAATCAAGTTCAAATGTCAAGAAAAAATCATCAACAGAGCAATAGCGAGTTGAAAAACATTATATGTAGGTCAGTAGACATAATTTCATCAGAAGAAACACTCTAGAACTTCTGGAATGTGTAACACTTTGAGTATCGCACGTACTTTGTCAAGCAACATTTGACAACATGGATTACCAAATTGTTTGCATAATAGTTTTATTACATGAATCGACAAAATATCTAAAGCGTGCGAGAAAAAGGAAAGAGTGCTTTATCCTTGAGATGACGAATATATCCAAAAAATACCTGGAGCAAAAGAACGAGCAAAGCAACTCAGTCCACTGCGTAGAACTTGAGCAGCTAGACTGGAATGATTTTATATTTGATGAAAAAAAGTGTCTATAGTTTATTTTAATTATAGTTTTATGACATATTAGAGTAGATGGAAATAGTGTTTTATTTCTTTCCCAATTTTCGTTCGTTCCCGTCATTCAAATGTGACGCATACAGAGGAGTAAAAAAAGTAAACAGAAAGAGAACCAAAAATATATACGAGAGAGAAAAGTCAGCGAAGAAAAAAACAAATCTATCAAAACTTTTGTGTTGATGCTATTAACAGCGTATCTATCTATTTTCTTTCTTCCAATTATCGATCGTTGTTCTTTAGCATGACACATTTATTTTTTCTTCCTTGACTCATATATATTTTTCGTTCGCTGTTCCAGCGAAAAATTGAAACAATCATTTACGACAGCCACTGTGTGTATGCCTATGATTTATGTTATAAATTCAATCAATCTTTCAGATAAAATACAGTTTAACAGCAGCCGCATGGTGTCGAATCGAATTCCTTATCAAGACCATAGTATTCCACTGTACTATTATGCGGGCGTTCGATTACAACTACCCATTTAATAATTTGCTCTCGATCTTTTACAACAAATTCATCTCTACTGTCATCCCCATGATTCAAATAGCATGTATCATATTCCGAATACCACGCTGAACTTTTTACTAATATATCTTTTTCTTTATTGTAATTTGGATTTGACGCATCTACCGGATAAAGTTCATTTTTGTTTATCTGAAATATTTTGCCCATTCGAATCTGAGCAACAAACCAGGCTCCATCTCCTCGTGCCTTTCCAACTGTATCTTCGACAGATGGGGCAAAATAGACTCCCGAGTCTAGCATGCTTTTAGACGACGGAATAAAGTTCGAATGTGCAAGGTTAACGGCTGCCTTCGGCGTTGTCGAATGAAAGTCTATGTAGAGGGGATCAGACTTTGATTTCTTGTTTGAGTTACAATGTTGGTTTAGGTAGATCGCCCCAGCGAGGTTGCGGTTTGTATTGACTGGAATGGAATGTGACAATGTGTTCAAGACGGTAATCTAAGCAAGGCTGTTTATTGCATAGATGATTGCCCCATTGTTGATCGTAACGATAGGCGCCAACAAGAATGTAGGGTAGATAGCGTTCATGAAATAGTTGCTGTAACTTCAGTAAAATAACAGTGAAGTCTGAAAGCATGACGACGAAAAATTTCAAACCAGAAGTAAGGGTTTTTGAATTTGCAGCTAGCTTGCCCGCCGAATTTTCAGATTA